GTCGGGCTTCCATCCAAGAAGCTACAGAGCTTCTCTCTGGTCTAAATCCGTAGTGCAGAAACAACTTATTCCATGAGATCCCAAGTGGGAAAACTGGCGGGGGAACATAAGTAATGATTTCTGTCAATTAGATTATTGTGAATGGAATATTTAATATATTTAATGGAACATTGCTTAATTGCTGCTTATGGGTACTTTGTTGATACTGGAAACTCTGATTTAAATGATTATTTTAATGAAAGATTGCCAAAGGACTCATATTTTAAACTCCTACATAGGATAACAGTTGGACTATTTTCCCTGGGTTTTTGTGCAGACCAGACATCATTTCCTAGTTACAGCACTCAAGGTAATGCCAGTTAGTGCATTTACAGAACTGTCCAAGGCTAACTGATGAGGGTGTTCACCACAAATCCAACTGCAGACTCTCCTCAAAAACTCAGACTGCTTTGCAGCTTATGAGCTGATAGGCCTATATGACTAGTGCAGAAGCCCACAGTAACCTTGTAGTAGCCCTTGGTATTTGTGGTAGGACCCTGAGGACACTAATGGCTGTAACTGCCCTGAGCAGCCCCACCTGGACCCACATCCACACCTGCTGCCCATCAGCTGGGGCTCCATTTAAGCTCAGCCTTGAGGCGTGTTTGTTTTTCCTGAGCTTTGCTGTAGGTACAACCTTATATCTAGCTCTTTCTCTCCTGGATGGATCAAGGACATCTATGTTGCAGGTAGGTTTGTCACCAGCTCTATCGCGGGTGGGCCTTAGTTTTGTGTACTAGCTAGCTTTGCTGCCACTCCCATTTCTGTCTCTTGCTGTTCCCATATGCTTTGTTCCTGGCAGTAGGGACGCCAGGTATTTCTGTGCTGGTGGGATGAGGACTAGCCATTGGTGATGTTTTGTCACCTGAAGAAGGATGAATTTGGGTTGTTGTTTCATGTTCTGACCAATTTTTCCCTCTTGAATCACAGTAAGGTTAATTGGAAAAGAAAAAAAAAATCTATGAAGATCCTAAAACTGCTTTAAAGGTTGTTTTTCTGCTCTGTGCAAGTTGCCAATTATGAAGTCTCATCCAAGAAACCCTTCTGTCTGCATATATATGTGTGCCTATGAAGCCCTTTAAACCGTCATTAGTGTCCCCGTCTCTAAATGGAGATCTGAAATGTCAAGTGGAAATGCAGAATTTATTTATAGCCTTAGTACATTTTTCAGCCACAATACCTAAATACACAGAGCAAGAGCATTGCCTTGCAGTTTGTTTACTAAGCAGCATTGCTTTCCCATTTGACTGGAGTGGTGAGTCAGCATTGCTGTTGAGCTCACCCTGTTCTCAGAGGTCCTCTCCAGCCTTTGGGCCAGGGCAGTTGTTGAGGGCCAGCTGCTTTGGTGTTGTATTTTAGGAGACTACTTTGTGTTGCCTTCTTGATAGCATGGAGGAGTCTCCTTCAGATTGCCCTATGCTGCAGTGCCAGTGCAAGCCCTTGAAAAATGGAAGCTGTTGCTGGATCCAAACAGTTGAAACCTGTGACTTAGTTTCCTGAAATCATGAGTTTGGCTTAGAAAATTATATCTTTCTTTTTTTTTTTTTAATGGCTGCATAGTCTTTGCGTTAAGTTCTGGTTTGGGGAATTATTAGGGATGCTCCAGTTGCAATTTCAAATTTTTCTTTGTAATCGTAATGCTGAGAAGCGTATGTATTGTGACACGAAAGCAGGGGAACAGCTTGTCTCTAGCAGCTAAGTAAAGCACCAAATATTGAGACTGTGGTTTAAAAACAGTGATACATATTTAGTTTAAAGTTCCAGATTTGTTGGTGTTTTTCAGCAATTCTAGATCCTCAGACTCTAGATGCCAACACCAGTCATGTTAGCAGCGCATGAACTGGTGTTGATCTTGGGATCAGTCAGGTCTTGATGCATAGCTGAGCTCTAACAGCACAGTAGGGGTGCTTTCCTACCCTCTGCCTTCCAGAGATGTTCACTTCTCACTGTCCTCAGCTTTTTGCAGCAAGTCCTTTCTCTAAAGATACTAAGCTTGTTTAGGGACTTGTTCAGAACTGTGCCTCTCTGTACCTGTGGTTCCTGGAATGTAGTTTCCTGTCAGGACCCCTTCTCCTTATTTTCCCTGGGTGGCTGTCAATAGCAATATGGAGCAGTTTTATAACCTGATAGAAGCTTAAAAAAAGGACCATGCTCTGGCCAGCTATTCAGCAGCACCCTCACCTTGGCCTGTGGGGTCCCAGCTCTGCTGTCTTCCCTTTGCCATTCCCAGACCAGTCTTCTCCCACCACAGCAGCAAGTTTTGCTGTGTCCAGCCCCATGGGACTAGGGTGGGAGGGTGAACTGTTTGGCCAGGGTGCGGAGGAATGAGCAGTTTATCACTTGTTGCCATTGGATACTGATAGCAGAGTACCAATTTTAACTGCAGCTGTAAGGCTGCCCAGAGTATGGAACCAGCATCTCTTAAAGCAATTGGTGGTTTTGTAGTTCTCCAGGAAATGTTCATAGCAATCTATTGGGTTGCAGCACTCCCAGTGTGCCTGTAGTTCCCGTTTTTTTCTGGTGAAGCTTTCCCGTAGGAGTTGGGAAAACAGGGCTCTCATCAAAAACTGGAAAAGAAACAACTGGAAGCAATGTCATGTGCACAGTTATGTTGTATTTTAGTAAAAATAGGTTTCCTACTATTTTTGCCATTGATCCATATTAATTTGCTGCAAAGCTTAGCCTTGAAACTGGGGCTCTCAGATGCTGCAGATGCACCATGCCAGGGACTCGGCATGGCTTGGTTTGCTAATCTGGTGTGTGCTCTGTGGAAGTTATGAAGCTGCCTCAACAGCCTTCCTAAAGACCAAAGTACATGATTCAGATCTTAAAAATATACAACAACAGCCCTCAGGCAGTGATGCTCTGCCTAATGGCCCCACCTAATTTCCCCTCTGAACTACATACTGTACTATAAGTAGTTCGGGCACCTGCTGAAACCAGAAATGCTTCTTTCCCTGAAACCAGACACTAGCAGTGGTTAATTACCACATCCCAAATTGGCACAGATTAATGCAGTTTCAATGAAGCTTCATGGGATTATTCCTCTCCTGGCTTTGAGTCATTAATGGGTATCGTTCTGGCTATTTTTATGCTTTTCAAATTATTTCATTAAATTACAAAAGCAATTATCAGACAAAATCTGTTTTTCCTGGTTAGGGAAGGGAAAAAACTAGAAAAACCACCTTTCTCTGTTGCAGTAAATCATAGGGCTGAGTGTTTCTTGTGCTGGTTTTATGTGGACTTAATTGATTAGCAAACTTAGCTGTATGAGAGCTAGCTCTCACAGCCCCAGAAATGGGGCTATAGCAGAGTGATAGGTGTACCATATTTGCTTGCATGTATAGAGGCAGTATAATAAATATACATATCTGTGTGTATGTATATATACACATTGCTACATAGCCTGCAGTATGTACATACATTCATGAAGTAGTTGCTTTTGAACAATCTTTGTGTGTGTAACTGAAGTGGAAAATGCTGTAGTTAGGATTTTCTTGTTGCTTGCAGAGGTGGATATATGTGCACTAAGCAATTAAAGCTATGACCTGAGGACTGGAGTCAAAATACCTGGACCCAGGACCTAAACGGACCTAGAACTCAGAAGAATCACAAAACTAACAAACTGGGGACTAAATTTGAAGTACAGGTTTTGGATGTTCTCAGTTAGAAAAACTGAGATGGAATAATGATGAGTAACTTTCCCTGCTATATGAGTGCTTATTAAGGGGAGCGAAATGCTTTTACTGTAGCTTGCATTGTACCCCTACTGACTCTGCACAGGTTTGACAGCCTGAAAATGAAGTCTTAAGGTCTTTTAGAAGCAGAAGTCTTGAGCAGGAGCAACTGTGCTGTTAGTGTATGTGACCCTGAGCAACAATACTGCTGCTTTCTGGCTGATCTGTTGTCATGTGTAGTGATACATGTGCCTTGCACTGCCCTTGCACGGCATACAAACTTGTTTAAGACTGAGAATGTGATAGGTCTCCCCAGTTAAGCTTTTGAGCTCTGAGGATTTTCAGTCTGTTAAAATACAAACAAAACACTTGCCTAGTAGATTAAGAAGTAACTGCTTTAAAATTAGCCCTATGAAGATCACACCCAGGACACAGTCCCAATAATCCAGAGCTCAGTGCCAGACAATATATACCTGCGTATGCAAAATAAGTTAAGCAACAGAAGAAAATTTGTACCAAAATAGTTTAATAAAAACAATAAGAGACTTCACTGAAGCTTGCTGTCCTCAAGACAGAATTATGACATTGCAGCATTCAACACAATCATAATTCACATATAATACTATATAGCTCCTGTTCGCCTTGGCCATGTTCTGCTCTCGCTCTGGCCTCCTGCAGCCCTGCTGACACAACCCAGCCCTGCATACTTTAGTTGCAGAACCTGTTCCTCTGGGAATTGAGTTAAATCCCTTCCTTACTGCACAGTGCTGTTACTGTCTGGAAGTTGCACAGAAACCCAACACATCTCTTTGCAGCTAGAGGCATTTTACAGAACCAGTGTGAACAAAGCAAGTGACTGGCAACAGCAATACTGGTTGATGTTTAGGTAAAACAAGTATGCGACCAATTACTCAAGTTCCCAGTGCTGCCCAGCAGCTTCTGTTCACAAGAAGGAAGCTCTGTCCTGACCTGCTGCATTGCCACCTCTGCCATGACAGAATAACTCTTATATTATACAGCTTGGCCTAGTGCATGCTCTCACTGCAGCACTTGCAGAGAAGCCCACTGCCAGCAGCTGGCTGGCAGGCTTCTCCACCACCACTGAATGCCCTCCACCAGCATCGCTCTTTGCCATCAGCTTTGCACCATAGTCAGTATTTGTCCTTGCATTGTGGCAAACAGACTGAGCACTCAGTATCTCAGTCTTTCAGGTCAGGATGCTGCCATGAGCTGTGGCTTGCTTCCTCACTAGCCAAGAGGCTTCTTATTGCTCTTCTCCATCACTCATGTTCCCTGGGCTGTTCCGGTGATGTGGGTCTTCTTGCACAGCTCCTGATAGAATTCAGATTCCAAAAACCGTGGGTATGAGTTATTCTCCATTAAGCTGTAAACTCTCTTCTGCGCTGCACTGAAGCAGGTATGTGTGGCTTCTTGAATATTCTGAGCAATCATATTCTTGGTTTGGAAGTCTATATTTATCTGAAACAAAAAGGACATTTACTTCTGAGAACTGAATTCAAGGAAGTTGAAAACACCATAAAATATCTGAAGAGGTATTAAATGCCAGAGCCTATTACTACAGGATCAAATTAATGATATGTTCTTTAAGAAAATTAGTCTCTTAAACAAAACTTATATACTGATCTTGATATACTATCTGTCAGTTCGAAACTGAACTATGTTACAGGTATTACATGCAGCTGTTGACTTTTCCCAGTTAAGATGGAAACTATGAAATACTGCTCATGCTGGTTTCCAGCTTGGTGAAAAGGCAGTTGGGGAGAGACTTAGATCCAGACACAAATATTAATGGTGAGGTATGTATAATGCTGTTTGTATGCTGCTTGCACGGCATACAAAGATGCATCTGTATCTTGGAGTTCAGAGAAACAAAGAAAGGCTGTAAGAACTCACAGAACAGGGCACTTATGTTTAAGTTTCCTTTACCTCTTTGGGAGCTTCCTTTTCAATGAAGTCATTGTAGATTTTTTTTGCTTTTGATGTCAGCTTCTGGGGTGACTTGGTTTTCTTGAAGTCCTCACAGGCCAACCAGAACTCAATATTCTCTTCACAGAACTCAGACTTCAGAAAAGCTCGGAAAGCAGCAAGACCATCTAGGGCAAGAAAAAACAACAAACCACATTGATTAACTATTTCAGGAATCTTGAATTTATCTTGTGGTCACATCTGCTCCTACCTAAACATTTTGCAGTAATTCTGGTCTGGTTCTTTCAGGGTTATCATAGCAATAAAGAAATTCCACATTTACATATGCAAACAAGTTGACACTCTAACAGTTTGGCAGGCTTCACTTCAGTCATTTAGGTAAGCACAAAGAATGAAACCCATTTCTAGTTCCCTTTTGTGATGCCTGCATGTATATATATCCAAACCACCTCTCTTCAGATGGTAACTCTGGTGTTAACCTTTACACTGGAGTAAATATTTATGACTGTACTACAAACCTCTGGAATTTTTTTTTTGCAATGGAAAGGATGACTCAAGTTCAAAGAGCAAATGTTAATTTGTTTTTTAGTCTTTTTGCTTTGCTATTGAGTGCTTTGCCTTGTAGAACTACAGCAGAACCCTGAGATCACTGAAGTCCTGTTGCAGAATCCTTCCCAAGTTATTTGAATGCATTTGGCTTGGTTAAGTGGTGAGCTCAGTAAACAAATGCTCTATTCATATTTGGCAAAGCCAACCTGACGGGTATGACTTTAATTGCAAGGCTTATAGAAAAAATCCACTACAGTGAACTATTCTTGATGGGTTTAACATTAATTTACAGGGTTGTTTTTTTTTTTTTGAAGAGTACCGCTATGAATTTTGGCTTTCAACTGTTTACAGCATTTAACTTTCAAGACCAGAATCGAATCTATTTCCATTAGAAAGGCACAATGAGGAAGCAATCTCTTACAGACATATAAACTGAACTGCCCCTTTGCTCTTGAATCTTACTTTTTGAAGGCAAACTTACATTTGTTAGCAAGAAGTTCATCGAAAGCTTCTGACCACAGCTGGGCTTCTTCAGGGGAAGGTCTGTATAAAGAGATGGAGAACATTAGACTCCATTGCTCAAGCTTTGTTTCTGTAGAACACTCAATATTTAAACAAAATCTCTTTCCAGTAAGTTACCTGAAGTAGGTGCGGTGTTTCCCCACTTTCTTGGGCTTCATTTTAGTAGAATTGGAAGAGTTCTGCAGGAAGTAGCTCAGTCTCGTTTTCCAATCTTTAATGCTGGAAAAACCAAAAGAAAGATGACTGTTAAATGTGACAACTCAAAAAGGTTTAGGCACCCATCTCTTTACTGGCAAAGGCTGCATGCAAACCTTTTCCTGACATGGCTTTGCCAGCTCTAACTAGAGAATCACCCAGAGCATCTGAGGGCAAGTGAACGACTTTCCCCCTCGCTTAAACCAACAGACTGGCCCTCTAGGCAGTGACTGGCATCGGCCAAGGTACAGCTGCAGGTGGCAGAGACCCACAAGCTGCTCTGCTCTCACGCTTCCTCCCCGCTTCGGTCCCGGCCCCGCGGCTGGAAGCGGCTCC